TAATATCACTGTCATCTATTAATTACTGGCATGACTAACGAATTAAGTAACTGATAATTTAATTCAAAAGTAAGACCACTGACTGTGTTGTCTCCTATAAAGCTTTCGGAAAAGCTGTATACCTGTCATGGAAAGGGGATGATTCAGAAGAACTATGTATATGCTCTTGTGTCCCGACACCGTAATTCTTTTGAATTTCCCGGAGTTGTAATATGATACCATTATCTTGCCGATATCGAAAACATCGACTCGCGACAAGACGAGTCGATCTGTGAACTCGATTTCACTTTTAAACTGGATGTATTTGGTTTCTAGTTACATCTACTGTGATCGTACTATTTAATAGTAATGTCGATGAACGCACTGTGTTTGACGTGTTTGAACAGTTTCGTTGTCGTATTTTAGAGCGTCTGTCGAGGATGAAGCTTTTGGTGTTTATATACGGGTAGTTGTAAAAAAACTCAGATGGGTGGTGGTCAGTGTTAGAGAGGGATGAAGGATGTATGGTGAGACTTATGCTATGACGTCCCTTGGTTGGCTCTACATTAATTGGTTCCACAAGAAATTTTTTGAACGAAATATTTTATCCGTTATAAATTTTACATGAGCCTTCATTGTTATCTGATTAATGTAGCATGAGATCAGACAAAAAATGAAATCAAAGAAAAACCATTCTTGGTGACTTTTAGTGACGAAGAATTTTTGTGAACATAATTTCAATGAAGACATTCTAAATGATTTTTTACTAATGCAAAAATAAAGGTGTATACAATAACTCAGCTGGATCATAATTTTGTTAAATTGAACCCATTTTTGTGATTAACGTACCTGAGTTTAAAACTTTCATGCAAGCACGGTGAAAATAATTAAGTTATAAGACAGACATTTTTTAAAATTAAAAATAACAGTCAACAACCACTATTCAGGGAGAAAGTTCTGATGCTATACCTACTTTTTTTGCAGAAGTGGAATATTGTCACGCTTCTGGTTTTTCAGTTGATGCGTGTCGTTTATTTTTCCACCTAAACTCTATGCGAACTGGTATGAAGCCCCACCTGCTAGAAAGCCTTACTTACTCATAAAATCTAATACTTATTCTCGAGCCAGAGATATCACATTCAATCTGGATATTGTATCGCAACTTTATTGGAACTATGCCATCGTTGGCACAGAAAAAGGAAAACGTGTTCATGTGCTGCTCGGTGATGCAAACCCTCAAGAGTTATGGCCATTAAGCGCACAATCGAGCAACTTCGCTACTTGACTGATGGTACAGTTAAGAATAGATTTAGCTTCTCTAGTAAAAATGAATCTCGAAATTTGGGGCTCCAGAAAAATGGTAATCCAGGGATTTAAAGATCTAGAAATTTAAAGATTGAAGAATTTGAGAATTTGTATATTTAGAAGTGTAAGAATTTGAGGATTTCAAAATTTTAGACATTTTTGAAATTTGGAAGTTAGAGAATATGAAGGTACAGAAAAATTTGGGGATTTAGAGAATGAAAAGTTTTGTTATTTAAAAAATTCGGAAGTTACATGAAATTTAGAGAACTTGGGACTTTTTTAATTTTTAAGAAGCATTTAAAAATTTGTGAATTTATGAATTTGGAAATTTAAAAAATTAAAATATATGATAATTTGAAAACTTGGCACTGTAGAAATTTAGGAATTAAAAAATTATGAAGGCATTGTAAGGAAGCCTACGTTGCACTTAAATGAATGTATTATACATTCGTTTCTACCATATTCATCCATATTGCTGAACCAAAATCAGTCCTCAATCAGTTACTTTGCATACCGTAATCCTCCCCTAATCTACCCTTGCTTAAAGGTTCGGACAAAGGATTTATTTACTTTCGAAATATTTAAAACACAAGGAAACTGTTATAGACTTTTATAATTGGCTCATCTTTCGATATAAAACCTGTTACCTGAAACAGAAAGCAAAACAGAGTAGTAGTGGAACTTCGATTCCTTTATCCCATTATTTAGAGCTTAAGATCACTGGATCTGTTGGTCGTTTTACAATCTGTGCTGTCTCTTCCTGCTTTGTGAACCGAGAAAAGAGAGCAGGAGTTCAGAATGGATTGGATGACCAAGGATTGAAGGTATTGTAACGTTTTTGGAGATTGAAGACGGATCACTCCTTCGACTTTAGTATCTTCCCAGTGCAATGTATTATGATTTAGGGAATGGGTTCTCGACTACTACAGCTATGATGAAACCACAGCAGAGAAGTCGTCTATACAAGAGCTTCCTTACACATTCTCTGTTGGATTTAGCCGCTTGTGCTATCCACCGAGAGTTTCTACTTTGGGTTGTTGTATTAGGCAATCCTGGTCCATGTAAATTTCACTGAAATCGCTGGATGCCATGTGCAGAAGCTTAGTCCGTGTCGCAAACTCTGAGGACGTTCAACTTGCGTTCTACCAGCTGCTTAGCCACATCTATACGTGTGAACAGTAATGTATTGTCACCGTGTGGATGAATAACAGCTGGGTTGGATGGCAAAATTTATATTATCATTCAAGTTATGAAGTAATGTACAGGGCGGAGAAAGAATATGTTGTGGATCCTAGGATGTGATTTTACATCTCTGGATTAGTGAAGATCTACAAACAAAAATAGCTGCAAAGTTGCCCTTGTTTTTTAAGTTCAAGGTTAAATTTTGTTATTTTTAAATTGTGTAGTACTTGTCAAGAAGACAAAAAGTCTTCAAGAAATTATCGATGAAAACTCAATCGTTTTCTTAGAAAATAATGTTAATGTTTCCTTATTAATTTTACTAATGAATGGGAATGTCTATAGTAGCGAAACCAAAAAGGATTGTATTTAAAAATACATGAAATATGTGACATAAAATTTTTCGTCCGAAATTTCGTCGTTAAAAAAATCGATTTTAAAGATTTGTTGTACATGCTATACATACATGCACTAGTCACTTTATTCCGCTGTGTAGCGTACAGGAATAATTGTAAAGTGCGACAAATAAATTAATTGTATTCAAAGAGAAATCAGACAAGAAAATCCTTAGAATTCCCTTGCGAAATATAATAGAATAGATGGAAATAATATTTAGCGTCGAGAACATTCGAGAAAAGCGAATACTTCAGACTAATCGAAAATTCTGTCGCGATGCGAGAGTTCGTAGGCCGCTCAGCGGAGCGAGAGGCAAGGCGCGACCCGCGAGCCGCGAGCAGCGATCGCGGAACTTGGCGACGCGTTGTTGATAGCTCGGCCGCAGGATAGCAACCGGCCTATATAAAATAGAGTCGCGCG